TAAAAATGTTTTGTATCATATATTACCAGCACATATGAGCTTACAATCAAACATTTATAATGTTTTTCAACTTTATACAGTAATATTCAGGCTATATTTCTATTTATAGATGAACTAACAGTACATAAGTAGGCCTATACAAGAGCTCCCAAAGATATGGACCATGGAGGTAAATTTTGAATGAAACTAAACGATACTGAGGAAAATGCTCTAAAAAAACTTCCAAGAGAAAATTTGCTGTTAGAATGACAACTCAATCGTTATTTTAAAAAATAATAATAGCAATAAAATGTTTACAAGGTAATTTATGCAGATCAACATTTTATTGATTTAATAAGAGAGCAAACAATTCAATAAATATCAACAATTTAATTATGAACCAAACAGGTCCTAAATAAATGAAATAAAAAACATACCTATGTAAATGTAAGATATCTCAAGGAAGTGTACACACTGTGACCAGCGTATTACTGACTCATACTACGGTATCGTAGTTGGAGCCTATGGTTCACTGGTAAACGAGTCCACGAATGTCTCCTCAAGGAAGCCTATAGTACCTCCTTAAAAACTTATAAGGGCTGGTCTAAGCCTTTGAAGGGGTGGTCCTACTTCCTATGTTGAAGAGTCAGGCACTGATGGGTGTCTTGAGAAAGCCTATTGTACCTCCTTAAAAACTGATAAGGGCTGGCTCATGATTATTAAAACTAATACACTGATAAGGACTGACCTAGCTCTCTGAGGGGTGGTGCTAGCACCATATGGAAATATTCTTAATGGATTAACTAATTAAAATGTTTCCAGGATGAAAGAGTGTCCAGTAGCTGGCAGAGGGATATCATGTAGGGTGTTAATCTTCCTCCAATTAGATAATTGTATTCAATGCGATTATAATGATAATTCACACTTTCATTTCCCTGTTTGTGATTGAACAGAATTAATTATTCATAAGCATTGAAATTGTATAGAAGTCCAATGATTAAACAACTGCTAATTTCCTTTAGTTACTTTAAAAACTGCAATCTAAAAGTGTTCATCTCCCATGTTTAAAATTTCCATTACTATGAGCTGAGTCATTAACTGGAAATTAACTATGTATATAGGCTTATACCTGGATTGGAGTGAGTTTGAAAGTATTGAACCCAGGACACTAAAATTAGACAGCAAGAATATAAAACCAAGAAACAAATTTTTATTCCATTAATTTTAAAGACGGTGAGAGCACAACACCCAGAGGCAGGTTTAGATAATAATACCAGGCATACACACTCATGGAATGGATACCAAACTCAAAATTGATTGATTGATAGGATAACACGTTTTCTCAAAGACGTACTATTTCTTTTTTTTTTTGCCATGATATAGTAAGAAAAAAAATAACAAGTCAGAACAAAAGATGCAGGAGGACCTTAATTAATAAAACTGAATGAACAAAGGGTAGTTAACAATAGTAATCACAAGACAATTCTGGTTCTTTTTTAGTAAGATAAAAATTGTAGGATTTAAAAAAATATATAATCATGATATTGAATTTTTACCTTTATAATTCATGCAAAATGCTAAATGAGATCTAAATATAACTATCCTAGTGTAACAAAGAACTTACAGACAACAAAATATTTCAACTCCATCCTATTGTAGCTTTTAAGAACAGCTTTGTAAACAGATGGCACATTCTTCCATGAAGTTAACATTCCTTAATATTTATATCATTGTGTTGTTAACAACTAAATATTAAAATTGCAAAATTGGGAAATTTAACGTTTCTATTGTGTGCATCCATTTGGGAATGAATGCATTTGTAATTAATGTAGAGGCCTATATGTGGCTCCTGTAATAAAACTAAAATTATCCATTTAACTGTACTGAAGAAATAGTTTCTTAAGTGAAGGATTAGGTGCTTTTACTAGAGTTTGCTTCACAGCCAATTGAAGGTGTTAAGAACTTAATCCCACTCACTTCAGCAGGCTTGAACAAACACTTTAACAATATTACCCTAGTAGAAATTCTAGGTTAAATATGTACCAACAAAACCAGCATAGAGTGTGCTAGGCCAGTACTATGAGTTTACTTTACATCACTACTCAAAGCATGCCTATCAGATGTCCTGGTAACTCATTCAAGCATACAAGATACTTGCTTTACACAGATGCTTCAACTATTTATTACCAGATACATTCAAATATTTACTTAACCTGCCAAACACATGTCATATAACTATTCCCTTCAAGAGCTTTAGTTTAAAGAACAGGGTTTTTTTAGCATACCCAGTGACATGGTTCCCAAGTCTTCTGTAAGTCGCAGGCTTGGAAGTATGGACGGCCACCTACCCACAACAGAGGTCAATTTTGATGTAAGAAAGCTTGTTTAAATATATCTTTATATGTTCTTTAAACTAAAGCTCTTGAAGGGGACAGTTATACGACATATATAACTGGGGTAAAATTGGTAGTTAAAGCCCTGGCCTATCCTGTGTCAAAGTGCCACGATTTTCCGTACGATGTTAGGAATTTCAAGCTAGACTGGGTGCTAAGCCAATAAGCCCCTTGCTAAGTATACCTTTGGTACAGCCACAAGATTGCGACCGAACGGAACACTTTTTGCCATCATATTTTAAGTGCCCTTTGATGGAGTAGACTTAATGTGATTTGGAATGAAAAATTACTTCTTATGACTTTCAAATGCTTAAAAGGATATGCCCCTCAATATTTGTCTTCAAAATTTACCTTTAACAATACTACCCATTCTAAAGGCACACGTTGCCAAACTCATAACAACCTTGTTCTTCCAATATATAATATTGGACAGGGAAAACACAACTTTTTTATATCGATCACCCAAAAGCTGGAATGAACTACCACACAAATTAAAAATTAAATTTGAGGAGATGTCGACTTTTTCATTCCAAAATCATTAAAAATAATATTTTCAAATTTTACTTTATTTTATTCTTTGTTTTATTTCTACTGTATATGTTTCTCGTCACTGTACCACTTGGAAAATCAGTAGGGCCTACTATAGTATAAAGAAAGATTAAATTAAATTAATTTAATTAAATGCCATGTAGGTAATGATGGAAATTTCATATTTTTGTAGGGTGGTGTGGAGTGGGATGGGGAGAAATAACTCGAATTGACCCAGTTTCAATGTTATTTGTTTAAGAAAGTAAGACACATTGATATTTCTCATTTGAATTGCAACATCAACTGGTCTTGGAAGCTTGTGCCAAACTTAAGGCAGCCCAAATTTATGGTGAAGAAATATTTTTGTTTTATTTCTTTTATTTAAATACAGGGGTCCCAAGTTGGAAGAGTCCACATCTAAAAGATCTGTGTAAATGAATTTCTATACACATCTACAAAAATTTTGCTGGGCATGGTGATATGGTAACTATTGGCACTGACTTCCAGGAGACAATTGGTAATACACCCCTGGACCTTGCAGGTGACTTGGCAACCCTGGGCACTAAATGTGGTCTTCAGAAATTAAGAAACAATACAACAATTGGGAACCCTGTAAATAATTATTTAATAAAATATGCCTATATTTATTTATATTTTACTTTAGTAAAAAAAAATTCCAGAATATTAATTTTATTTATTTATTATTTATTCTACTAAAATAAATAATACATGAAAAGAACATATTTAGGCTTATTCTTCTCGCCATCTCACCCGAATGCCCAGTAGACTATCATTAGTCTGTTGGCTGAAATCTTCTGACAAACATTCTCCAAGCAGCAGTCTAGGCTTATGTTTATTATATATTTAATTAACTGAATAATGAATTAATGTTTACTTAATTGTTATCTTTTAAATGTTGTAAACAAATTTTCTCATTGGAATTTGGACCCAGGACTCTCTACTTACTTTCAGTTGCTCTATACGACAAAACAAAGGTCTTGTATTCTTTTGAATTTTTCACAAAGATGACATATCAAGTTACTACAGTTGTAGCATTTTATTAGAATTTTGATCCCTTCATAGTTCCACAGCATAACAGAAGTTCTTGACACATTGAAGGAAAGTTATATACATTATTATATAGTTGAAGTTCTTGGGTGTCTAGGTGACAGTTCTTCAAGGACAAGTCTCAAAGACTTGATGGATCATTTGATGGAGTTTTACCCTAAGGCAATATACAGGGAAAACCCCATGGACATATAACTGTTAATTGGTGAAAATTTACAATATCGCATGCCGCCAGCTATCTCGCTCATGCTAAACTCCTCTTGCTGAACAAAAGAATTAACACAATAAAATAGCACCATTAAACACTGCAACTTTAAAATAGGATATAAAAATCATGTCAGCAATTATTAGTGATGATGATAATGATGATGATACATAGTTTAATAAATAAATAGTAAATTTACAATGATATGATATGAAAAAAAAAACTCTCAGAAAGCAAAGCTTTTTTTCTGGCTCCTCAGACAACATATAGATGTAGGCCTGCATATAAATTCCAACAACAGATGAAAAAAATGAATTAACAAATAACAAAATAAATATAAATACTGTTTTTTAAGGCAAATTTTTTCAGAGCCTTAGGCTTATGTTAAAACAACCTAAAGTACTTAGATGCTATAACATAACATTTCTTGCAGTAATTATAACCTGAAACATGCAATGATTCATGTATTTAATCTTTTGGAGCATTCTTTTCCACTTTATTTATTTTACAAAATTTACTACAGATGTATTTTATTACTACATTATGAATGTCGTGTCTGCATCTTTTTATCATGAGATGCATTTATGTGAATGTTTCAAATTAGTTACAGGGGCTTCTACTTAAAGAAAATTAAAAAAAAAAAACACTTAAAAGCATCTCTGCCAATGAAATTTAATATATCAATAGCATTAGATTGACTGGTGTATGAAAAGTAATACAACAAAAATGGTAAGTGTTTTATCTACAATAAGAAATCATGACTTTCAATTTAAATTGTCCAATTTATAATAAATAAAAATATATAATATAAATGAATAAACAATTACCTGAAATTATTTTCCTAATTGTTGCCTTAGGTCCTTTACTACAATTTGTAAAAAATAAAATCTGTTCCAGTTGCTTCCAACTCGTTTTCCACCTCTGTATCCACACGCTACTCAAATGCAAAGAAAACAAGAAATTGCAACGAGTACGCTATAAAAAGATCTGCTTCTTGTTGCAGAATCTAATCATTATCTACGCAAATAACACCTTTCCACATTCAAATTAGAAGTGGGCTGGACAAGGCCACACTCTTTGACTGCCTTTTGGCACATTCAAAACAACTCATATGATCAAATGCAAGTGCGTAAACAACCGGAGCTCTAGTCAAGTTATATGCATTGAAGAACATACTGAATATCAGATTTTAAAGACTGGAAACTCATTTAATGGCTCACTAAATCCCTTGCCTTAGAGCTTGCCGCAGATTTGGTACCAGCTTAGAAAGAAATCTTTGCTTGAGGTTACTCATGGAATTAATGCACACACACAACGACAACAATTTTCACAAATGCAACAATAACAGCAGCAGGCTTCAAAGACGCCGACTGCTAAAGCCAGTTTAGCGCAACCCTAAACTGGCGACTTGACGTCACTACGAACGAGTGCACACATTTCACCCAGGGCAAATTCAGGACTGGTATTACATTTCATAAAAATAACATCGTAATTAAATGAATGGCCTTCGCTTAGATACAACACTACAAGGCCAAATCTCTGGAAGGAAAGGAGTCTGTTATTATTCGAAAAATGATATCATATTCCTACAATATGAAAACAGGTCGGCATCTGATCTACGTAGCCCCTTGACCTTCACTCTGGCATAACGCAATTGTTCTATTGGTAAGGCAAGCACACCAAGTAGACTAACAGTCGGGACATCAAAGCTACAGTCTTTATGCCCTAATCAACACAGATGCTACAGTCTCAGAAAAGCTCTAGTGTTTGATGCAAATTATGCGTGATCCATATTGATGAATAAATCTCTGACATAGTATGTATGGTTCCTGAAAAAACATTGATCACCTAGGGAGATTTCTTAATCACTGAATTCAAAAAGATTCTGAATTTACATCAAAGGATCCAGCGATAAGATGGATTACATGAAACGCTATTACTGTTACAAATGGGCCATCATAATATTCTGAGACCGTAAAGTCCCAAGCTTTATAAGCAGGTTAGGTTTCTGTTCTCAACACCCAACTGTCTTTGACATTTCACTCATGTCATACTTTAGAAAAACTGTCATAGTTTTATTTCATTTCATTTATCAAAAGTTACACACCAAAGGAGAACAAAAAATAGAAACAGTGTTATAAAAATCAATAGAACACCTAAAATCAGATGCAGGACAAAAAAAATAAGCAAACTTAATTTCAAAACAAAGTTTCTAAACCGACTTAAGAAATGGAACCTTAAAAAAACATAATTTAAAATATAGCACTACTTCAGAAAATGCTGAGCAAAAAATATAAAAAGGCAAACTTTTTCATTGAAACATCAATTTACATTATTCCTGTTTTAACATTACTTGGCTGGCTACTTTCTACAGTATTTAATGTGATTATCTTAGTTTCATTTTTAAAACAATAAAATTATTTTAAAATTTAATAATTTATGGATATAAACAGAACAAAATTATGCTTGAATTTAGGTTTTATTTATGTATACTGTATTACATAAAACACATTTTTTCAATGTTACTTGGCTAACTGCTTACTACAATCTTGACACTTGTGCATTTTGATAATAAGAAATATTATGGTCAATCATGAAATTGCAGTAAATATCAATTGTTTCAAACAACAAAACTACAGTAGATATACTTTTGTATAATCAGCAAGTAGGCCTCACTTCTTCATTGTCAGGTAGTATTAATGCAATGAATTAAGACAGAAATCATAATCAACTGATGCATTGTTTGATAAAAAAAAATATGTAGGTTAATTTGTTTGAACAATGATAGAAATATATCTGATTGATAATGGGCAGATGTGAATGTGATATCCTACAGATTGCTTCAAGCTTTAAGTATGTTGATATCTAAATGAATGAATGTGGACAGATTAAATACAACTACTAACTAATTTGTACATTTTTTTTTGTTTTAACTCTTGCCATTTAATCTTCCTAAAAATTAAATGCAATTTAACTTGTTCAACTTAATAGTATATTTATCATTTGTAGCTTCGTAATTATTAGAAGTTTGTAATATATAACTGAATGTAATAACATAGAATTATGGAAAATTTGCAATTTTCTCCTACTATAAAAAAAAAAGTATGCTTATGAAATTCAATTAATTTTTCTTTTAATTTTGTTTTATATTGTAATGAAGTATAAACACATAATTGTTGTGAATTGTGAACGCATATGTAAATATTGGTATAAGATCACTGTATAATAGGAGAGAAAACAAAAAATTGAAAATCATGAAAAAAGATGACAAACTTAAGTCATACAAGATTTATTTATTTCCTTTTCATATTTCAAACAATAATTGAAGAGGGAAAAAATCCATTCAAACAAGGTAAACCCAATTCAATAACTATTAGTAATACAAAATAAGAAAATAACTGAATAAAGAGCTGAATAAATTTAATAAGTGCATAGATACAGTATAAAATAAATCTTGAAAATAAGGCCAAAAAAAAAAAATAATAATAATAATAATGGCATCTTGTATTGGTGCAGTATCCATTTCAGAGAGCTGCTCGCGGCACATTTTCCACTTGCAAAGACAAACAGCCTTTTCTGCATTTCATTTATTATATTTATGAGGTTATTTTATTTTATATAAATTTTCTTTTTATTTATTTATTTATTTTTAATTTTTGTTTAAAAAATATTTAAATATACATTAATTATCAACTTAACTACAAAGAACAGGCAAAACAAGCGCAAGATCTTAGAGGGTCATCCATCCATCGCCACTCTGTCCTGTTCCCGAATCTCTACCTAGGTGGCTCGAACAAAGGAACGGGAAACACATTTGCCCTGCCACAGACGAACGGGTGCTCAGAGGCGGCAATCGGGTTAGTTAATCATTTTCAATGCGATTTTCAAATCATAAACTTTGAAGGCTTATTTCTCATACATTGTTCTTTAAACAGCTGTAGGTTTAAATGCCTGTAACTTCATAAAGAAATGTCAGATTTGAATGATTTTTTACCATTTTATCGCTCTTATTTTTCTCTTTAACACTGCATTAACAACTCAAAATCAATTTTTGCGACTAGTGACTGGTTTGGCTTGTCTTTGCCACATATTGATTTTGATTAGCATTTTTTGGACAATAGACCTTATTCATTTTTTCTTTTAATAAAGAAAAATTCCTACCTCTATTTTTTTTATTTTGGGTCACAAACAAGAATATTTTTTTATTTGGCCTAATAATTAAACATAAGCTTTCTGTACACCATGGCATATGCCTACCGATATGCTACAAATCTCAATTGATAGTGTTTGGTTCTGAGAGAACTGTTTAAATCCAAAAACAGTTTTTAATCCCAAACACCATCAATGGAGATTTGTAGTACTGTATATATTTGCATATAAAGCGATCCGTGTATAAGAGAAGACTTTTTGGACGATTTTTTTATGTCGGATGTATAAAACAACCCCCTTGTTTCATCATCGGTATTCCTACATTTTCCTGGTTTTTACAGTCTTGATATTTCATCTAGCTGGCTAATAACAGGGCCAGATGTAGTGCTAATCTTCCAAATAATACAATTTTATGAGCTTTCAAAATGTTTCATCAAAATCTTATTTCCCCGCATTTAAAATTTTGTTATTAGCAATTATTAGTTTCATTTCAATACATATGGATTCCTAGGCCGCATTTTAGCAACAAAACACTCAAATTTAATTGGCTCATATTCACTGCAGCGAAGTGACATCCAGAAGCCTTGGTTATCATTTAGACTTGATCATTTTATGAGGTGTAATTAATACCTTTGGTTTTATGCGTTGTTTGAGTCTGAAATATTATTATTAACAGTATTACTGTACTAGTTTAATAATTTCACAATTTTGTCTATAATGGTCACTTATATTTTACAACACACCTTTCCTAGCCAGCCTGAATCTGGCCATCCGAGACCTGTTCAATAATGGTACGTTCCTGCTTCTTACCAGCTGGCAGAGAAATCTACAACCGTGTGTTTTAGATTCTTGTGTGCCTTTAAATTTACATTAAATCAAATAATAACATTCAATAAATGTTAACAACATACAGTATTACTTAATGAGTATGTAGAAGGTTAAAATGAAATACCTAAAGGAAATTCGCCAATTTAAGGGAATAGATACAGCAACAGTACAACGTTTATTCATTAACAATAGTGGAAGGCTATACCAAAGCTTCGCATTTTCGCGGGCATAATGCCTAGACAGGATTGTTCATTCATATGGAAATTAGTGTTTTGACAGTGAATTTTTACATTCAATGGGAATATATTTTATATGAGAAGAATCTATGAATATTCAGCTTTCTTTTTACCGATGGAACAACAAGATATTTGATTGGTGAACAGCCGAAATGAAAATTTAAAGCCAACAAAGTCACTAAAAAGAGGTAAAAATGCAGACTCTACACGGTGGGTGGTCGGCATGCCACCAATCGAAAAGCAAAAAAAATAATGGTGACTTTTTTCACGAAATACAATTGAAACAAATACTAAAACAATCAGAAAAGAATTGCCATTAAAATACCGAAGGGAACACAAAAATCCGTATTAGCTGAGATATGACGGTGGAAAGACGAAAAATGACTAAAAAACAGCTCATATCGGTGCGAAATACAGCATGAAACACTAATCTGCTAGGCTAGTCTCGATCTTAAACGAAAATGTTGTGAGAAGAATCCCTATGTAGTAAATTTGTGTCTTACAGATGATCCGCACATAAGGTGAACATGATTTAAAAATCAAACATTTGCATGTGTTGCGTGTATAAGACGACCCCCTGTTTTTCGATCGTAATTTGCTATTTTAATCCTTATCTTATATGTGAGAATATATGGTATATGATAAGCCACAGGGTGTACCAAAGGTTTTATTAATGCATGGATTTAAAGAAATATTAAAATAAAATATTTAACAAAGAAATTAATAAAAATTTTAACATATTATCAGCTAAGCTGAAAAATAAGGAAAAATTGAATTTCATAAATATTTAATTGCCGGTAATTGTAAAAGAATTTTAGAGTTGAAAGCAATTATTTGCGTAGGTGTTAGTAAGCCTTTTCTATTACCCCTAATTAGAGTGGTTGTTTAATAGCATTTAGGACAATAAAAGGTACTTTTATCGGAAATTAGCATCGTGTGGTAAGCCATCAACTTTACAAGCTTTAGTCCCTCAGGATTGCAAACTTCAACAACATAGAAATTGTGTAAAATCAAGGACTAATTGATTAATGACTATATATGGTGCAATTTCACAAAACAGGTAACTCAATTTGTATGAAAACAAAGACAAACCAGA